TGGCCTGCTGTGCGCAGACCCACCAGACACAATAATGGGCATCCGTTTCGACAAGGATGGTGGACGACGACGTGTTTCCCGATGCGTGTTGTCACGTGCGCAGGCGCACCTGACACGCTCTGCGCGTGCCCCGAACGCGGCGCACCTAGCGCGGCTGCAGTATGCGGCACACCTGGCGCACGCAGTGCACGTGCCGCACCTGGCGCACCAGGCGTGCCTGGTACGCTCGGGCCCCAGGGGTGCCCGGCGCGCGTGGCGCGCCTGGCACGCGTGGCGCACCTTGCCCCAGCGTCGCGCACATGGGTGGTTCACAGTAGCTGCCCATCCAAAGACGACCGCTGAACATGCTCAGGCTCGGGTGTTACTTATGTGTTGGGAGGGCGGGTGGGGGTGAACTACACGGTTTGCTGTCTAGGGGGTGCCTTGACCCCACCCCCCACCCCATCCCTTGTGACTGGAGGGGGCGCACAACGACGGGTTAGAGCGTCCAAATGCTCCCAGAGGGCTTCTGAAAACGCAAAGTGGCATCCACGATTGCTCCAGATAGCTCAGGATGGTCAAAATGGCCTCCGGTGCACATCGAAAAAGCCTCAGGACGACCCCAAGACTCAAGACGGTTTCAAGTGCGCTTCGAGCCCTCCAAGGACCCCAGAATGGATCCCAAACCTACGTGGAATCAATGTTTTGTTGTCTCGCCTTTTCGCCGCCTTCGTGGTTCTGGGGGCCCTAGGATGGCCCCGAGACGGCCCAAGGAAGCCCCGCGATGGGCTCAGGAAAGCCCCCCAAACGGTCCCAGGAGCGCAACAGCGCGCCGGGGGCAGAATTTCCCACCCCCCTCTTTTCGAGTCATGTGATGGGATTGTTTTTCCACCACCACCATAAGTTCGACGGGAAGGGGCCGGGCCCTCTGCTTCCTCTGGTTCCTAAAGGTCGTGGCCACCTGCGGTAACCACGCCCGCCTCATGTCTTCAGGAGCTCCCCCTGGGTGCCCACGTAAACGCGAACCGATCCAGGAGCGACATGGGGCGAGGATGCCGACACGCAGAACGAAGCCCGCAGGGGCACCAGCCCCTACTTGCCGCCCTCGCCCGTCTTGCAGCCTCTGGCCGCCGCCCCAGCGGCAGCCACGAGCGGCTCCACGTCCCCGTAGTCGAACTCGTACACAGTTGCACGCCGCCCGCTCCCGACCAGGACGCGCACGGAGTCGCTCGTGGGGACGCCGAACACCGTCCCCAGGGGGCCGTCGCGGAGCCGCACTCGGGCGCCTCCCCGCAGGCCCGCAGGGGCCACGACAGCCGCCGACGGCGAGGGCGCGGCCTCCCCACAGCCAGCGTCGAGGGCAGGGCGGAGCACATCTCCATGTCCTTGCCCTTGCCCGTGCGCCACCCTGTGCTGGATGGCGGGCGGCTCAGCTGCACTGGCAGTTAATCCGCCCAGCTGCTGTCGTGTCGTGCATCATAGGCTCGGTCGACGCTGCAGCCCCTCTACCTTGCGTCATCCGCCGCCCAATCATCCCCGTTGCCCTCCTCGTCGCACGTGTGCATCGTCGCGTCGTCCGCCAAAGCCGCCCGAGCAGCGCCACGCTCCGCGCGCGGGCGACGCCTGCGGCGGCGCCGAAGGCTCGCGGGAGCATGATCGCCAGCAGCAGCAGGCTTCGGGTCGGCGCGGCGGCCAGCCCAGCGACCGCGGAGCGCACCAGGCCCTCCGCCGCGCGCAGGGCGCGGACAACGGCCCGATCCACGGGCACAGCGATGCCAGCGGCGGCATGCACCGCAAGCGCGCCAGCCCGGGCCGCCTCGAGCGCCAGGCGGCGCGAGGCGGGGTCCGCAGCGGTTCCCATCGGCATCGGCGGGCCAGGCGCGCCGACCAGACGGCGACGGCGCCACGGGGGGCGTGAGCCAAAATGGATTACCTGGGGAGGGGGTCCTCTTCCTCCTCCTCCTCCTCCTCCTCCTCCTCCTCCTCCTCCTCCTCCTCTTCCTCCTCTTCTTCGTCCTCCTCCTCCTCGTCCACCTCCTTCCCTCCTCCAATTAATGTGGTGGTGGTGGTGGTGGTGGTGGTGGTGGTGGTGGTGGTGGTGGTGGTGGTGGTGGTGGTGGAAAGCAGGCCCATCATCATGGGGGCCAAAAATGGCTCCAAGAGGCCTACCAGACCGCCCCACCAGGCACCAAGAGTGCCCCGAAAAGGCCCCAAGAGAGCCCCAGTTGAGCCTCAAGTGCCCCCAAGAGGCCCCGCGAGGACCCCGAGGAGAGCCCCAAGATGGCTCCTTTTGACCTCCAGGAAAACGCTTCGAAGGCGGTTGTTGCACTGCGTTCTTCTACACTTCCCTTGAGCAAGGCACCTCGCCTGGCGATCTGCTTCTGGATCTGCTGGTGGGGATACTTTTGGTCGCAGCCGCAAGCGAAGGCGCAGGTGGCGTCAAAGGTCGACCCTGGCTACTGGCGGAGCCCAATTACCCAGCGAGCGCGCTCACGACTGCCAAGGCTGCCGCTGGTGGGGATACTTTTTGGTCTGCGGGCTCGCGAAGCAAGTCGAAAACCGTCCAAACACTATCCGGGCCGCGACTAGGCAGCTGGTGGGGATATGTTTTTTGCCTCGCGGGCGCAAGCGGAAACGCAGGCGCCGAGTTGAAAGGTCTGGGCCACGGGCCGATCTAATTAGCAACGCGCGAGCCTAGAAGCACAGCGACCGAGCCCGGAATCAGAACCTACCGCCGGTGGGGCAGCTGGCTGAGGCTGAGCTGGCTTGGCGGCTGCAAACGGCCAGGGTAGCTGATGCAAACGTGCGGGTGAATTGGCTGGTGGGGATACTTTTTTGGTCGGCGGCCGCGCGACAACGGTCTGGCGGCAACAGGCGTGTCCGGGACGGCGGTACAAAGGTAGGGATATTGTTTTTTTGATCTGCGGCCCCAAGGAAGAGTCCAGAGGGCGGGTCAATCGGGCTGACTGGGGCACAGAAAAGGTGGGGATACGCGAAGCGTCAACAATATGTAATGCTCCTCTGAATTTCGGTGAACTCTTCCGCACCTTCCACGGAGGTCTGAAGGTATGGAAAAAAGCATCGGAACTCAGGACACCCAGGGCACCCTGTAGGCAAGCAGGGTGTTTCTTGGCATTGGTCTCCTCCACTGTACTACTCTCCTCTCGCCACGATCCACCTGTTCCTCCTGCTCGTGGTCCCGCTGATGCCGTTCCCGCTCCTCCCTCATCCTCCTACTCTTTATCCTCCTCCTCCTCCTGCTGCTGCTCCTCCTTCTCCGCCTCCTCCTCCTCCTTCTCCTCCTCCTCCACCTCCACCACCTCCTCCACCTCCTCCTCCTCCGCTGTGCAGAGCGACCCTTCCTGTTTGCGCATAATACGATGGGTCATGTTGCGGGTTCCAGGTCCGCTATGACAACCGTCGGTGGACAGAGAAACACAGCGCAGTGGAAGAAATGGGCGGGAGGGGTAGGGTGCTAGGTGTGACGCAAGCAAACATGGCTCGCCCACCTCCCCTCCCCCCCCCGCCGCTGATGTGCTTTCTAAACGGAAGCCAGTTAAAGTGACGTCTGAAACAGCGGCATTGCATTGGAGACTTCGAAATGCGAGTGGCAAAGTCTTGCGGCGTCCATGCGCGCGAAGCCAGGCGGACCTGAGAAATCGGCATCGCCCGCCTCAAAAATTCATTTCCCTGGGGTCCCGTTTGAGGAGGAGGAGGAGGAGGAGGAGGAGGAGGAGGAGGAGGAGGAGGAGGAGAAGGAGGAGGAGGAGGAGGAGGACGGGACGAGGATGAGGATGAGGACGGGGAGGAGGAGGACGAGGACGAGGAGGAGGAAGAGGATCGAGGACGAGGTGGAGGAGGAGGAGGAGGAGGGAGGAGGAAGAGGATCGAGGAGGAGGAGGACGAGGACGAGGTGGAGGAGGAGGAGGAGGAGGAGGAGGAGGAGGAGGAGCCACGCTCTCCCCTTTCTCTGAGCCTCGCTCCCCGCCGCTGCTCTCTTCCCCTTCCCGTCTTCACCCACCGCCGTGCCCAGACCCCCGCCGCCCCGACCACCCTCCCCCCCCCCCTCACGACCTGGGGCCCATAGGATCTGCAGGGGCCCAGGGACACGCAAACAAATAGACACACATCCCAGCGTTCACCACACTTGTCCATATTTTCTGGGCTTTCGTCCCCCCCCCACTTCCCCCCAGTTCCCATAGTTTCCCATACTTCCCTGGGAATCTAAGCTCATTAGTGTCTGTGTCGTTTCCCCATCCTACGGATCCGCTGTCTTCTGCCCCAGGCAGCGCTCCGCCGGCCCCTTGGTCCCCACACGCGGGCCCGACGGGGGAACGCCCGGAGGGCGACTGGCTCAGTCGGCTTGGAATCGGCGGTGCATCGCCGATCGATCGGCGAACGGCCCCCGACAGCGAATCCGACGGGTCTTGGGCGGGGGCGGGCTATCGGGCCCTCACCTGCGATCCTCGGGCGCTTAGAGCGCGTTTTTCATTTTCGGTGATGATGGGCATTATAGGTGGGGGGGAGGGGCCAAGGGAGGCATACTGTAACGCCTCCCCCCCGCCGTGCGCACGGCGGCAGTGCCCGAAGCGCACGGGCGGGGGAGGGGCGTTACGTTATAGAGGGGCTATAACGCCCATGATGCACCAAGCAATAAAGAAACACGCTCCTGTCGGACCCCCATCGGCAATCCTGGGGCGCTTAGGGGTCGATGCATCCCTGACGTTGCACTTGGATGCCTCCAGGGGTCTAGCCTCGGAAAAACCGGCGGCCGTCGTGATCTCCCCAGACCCCCGACGTCGCGATTCATTCACAGCGTCGACCCGCAAAAGTCTCGACCCCTTCTCCGGGACAGGTTTTTCGTCCTGGATCGTTTTTTGACGGTCCCGAGGCCCGGTAAGGGCCCCCGGAGGCCGAAAATAGCGAACAGTTTGTTTCGCAGCGCGAGGAGGTCTGGGTCTTTGCCAAGACTCCTAAGGTCTGGGCGCCCTCTTCCCTTGGCGCTCTCCCCTGGGTCGCGCCGTACGACATCGCCTTCCGCCGCGGCTTGGCGTGGAAGAATGCCATGGAATACGCCGGCGCCATTACCTGCGGCGCCGATGGGGTGCACGGGGATGCAGAAGACGAGCCCGAGGAGGGAGAGCAGGACTGCCTTCCCCATTTTCACCCTCCGTTTAAAGCGTGGCGTCAGCCTGCCGTTGCGGAGCCGAAGCTACCGCTCCCCAGAGCACCGAGCCCATCATGCGCCTTCTCAGTTCTGCAGAGCCATTGTGCATCTTGGGCTTCAACTCTAATCGCGCATACAGGGGACCAGGGACGCGCGCCCCAGCCCCCTTCTGTAGGACCCGCCGCTTGTGCGAGTATAGCCACTTGTATGTTACCTCTTTGTATCGTTTGTTGCACCGTTTCACACTGTAGGTGAAGTTAAAGACACTTACGCGCTGATCCATGTAAAGGCAGATGCACACAATGTCCGCCGGCCCCCTTGTGGGGCCACCAGGCTGTAGGCCCGTGATTCGCAGTTTCCTGTACCAGTCGTAGGTTGTAGTTTCCAGTGTTACAGTTCTGCTTCTTGCTGGTCCCCCTAACTAGTTGACTTATTGCTGGTTACTGTAACTAGTTGATTGACCGCGCGAGGGGGGGGAGGCCCAAAGTGGCTTTTTAGCGTTCCCTGGGCGCGTTGTCTGAATTGCTGGGGGGGCTCGAAATCGACACCCCTCACGCAGATCCGCGGGGTCAGGGTCCAAAAACACAAGGGATTTGCCACATTTCTGAAATTCGGTGCCACCCCTCACGCAGATCCGCGGGGTCAGGGTCCAAAAACACATGGGATTTGCCACATTTCTGAAATTCGGTGCCACCCCTCACGCAGATCCGCGGGGTCAGGGTCCAAAAACACAGGGGATTTGCCACATTTCTGAAATTCGGTGCCACCCCTCACGCAGATCCGCGGGGTCAGGGTCCAAAAACACAGGGGATTTGCCACATTTCTGAAATTCGGTGCCACCCCTCACGCAGATCCGCGGGGTCAGGGTCCAAAAACACAGGGGATTTGCCACATTTCTGAAATTCGGTGCCACCCTTCACGCACATCCATCGCAAGGCGTGGTAACCCAAACTGCGAGAACTCCCTCGGCCCTTTAATCGCAAGGTGTGGTAACCAAGCCCGTAAACCATACACGTCTTACCAATCGCCAGGTGTGGTAACCCCTCTTGTGATCAGTTGGTTTTGCTGATTGCGAATCGGCTTCGCATGAAGTTTCGATACTGCTTCACGACAGCGCCAAGGCCTCATGCCTTAGCTCTTCCATGGCCCATTCTCCGAGAGAGGGGGCCGGCGGCAGGGGGCGAAGCCCTTACGGATTTCAGTTGTGCGAATTCATATGCTTCATAATAAAACCCAAAATGAAACTTACCTGTACCACAAACTCTACTAAACATGAAAGCACGTAGTACCCCATTTACGGACTGAGTTTGAGTGACAGGTATTTCTGGAGGCAGCGCCGTTGGGCCAGGGAAGCTAAGTAGGCATAACAGGAAACACCCTGTGCTTTTCAAATGAAGCATAGAAACAAACTAGGACCACTTGTGACTCTCGCTATTCGTATGGCACGCAGTCCCACATTAAAAACCTTTTGTAACAACCCTTGCGACATGAATTCCTCTTGTGGCAACTTCCCAAACGGTCTTTAATTGTGGGGCATCCGCAGTGGCCGCCACGCTTGAAATCCTTTCCCCCAAAATAGCCTTTACACAGAGATTCCCTTTCTGGCGACCTATCAAAAGGATGTTAAGTGCGGGGGAGGTCTGCAATGGCCTCCGCAGAACTTCTTTTCCAACCTCTACAAAGGGAATGTTTGTGCGTCGGTCTGACACACGGATTTCAAACGCGGGGAATATGCAGCGGCGGCGCCTTGATCCCAAGAAAGCTAAAGAGAACAACAAGACACACCAAACAAGACACACCGCTGTTTTCACAAGAAAGGCACTGCACAAACTGAGGACACCTCTGACTCTCAATGTCTTGTATGGTGCAGATCACCAACACTTGAACTCCTTCTGTAGCAGCCCTTGAAATCAACTTCCTTGTGTGGCGATCTTCCACAACGATTTGGATTGCGGTGTCTCCGCAATGGCCGCCATACTTCAAAACCCTTTTGTGGCAGTAGTTATGCTATGACTGACTTTGTTGCGACCTTACGAAACGATTATGAGTGTGAGGGGTCTGCAGTGGCCTCCAACATCGAAGTCCTGCTGTCGCAGATTGATCGAACGGGCCAGTGTATGCGGTCTTACAGGTATGATTCAATTGTGCGGGCTGCTACAAAAGGATCTCAAGAGGCAACTGCAGGTCCCCCACGTATAATCCTTTCAAAGGTCGCCACATTATGAATCCTGGTGGAACGGCTAAGAGTCACAGGATTTCAGATGTGGCTGTCTTTGCAAGTGCCCACCATTTGAAACCCTGTCGAACAGGTCACCACCACAGGAATCGTTGCTCCCCATAAAAAATGTCAAGTAGTTATGGGGGGGCTGCATGCGCCAGCGTGTTCCGAGCCTTTTCCAACAATTTCAAGTGGAAAAACAAGTTTGTCATCTTGTTTCCCCTTGTCCTGGTAGGCTTCTGCGGCCCAGCTGGGCCGCCACTGAGATCGCCGTGGGGCTGGAGAAACATACCATGAGCACACGAAACATAACATGGCGCAAAAAGCAGCAACAACAGCAACATCAATCATTGTAAGACTGTTCGCTCCATCTGCGCACGTGCTAACCAATACGTGTATCCCAACCCGCCCTCGTCACCTTGGATCGTACCCCCTTGGGGGAAGAAATATCTTCCTTGCCTGCCACGTAGTTTGAATGCAGCCCCTAACACAAGGGAAGAGAAGACGGGTGGAAAGGGGAGGGAGAAGAATGGAACACGAGAGAAATTAGCAGGAGGGGGGCAAGGAGCAGAAAACAAGTGGTAGAACCAGACGGACAGACCGGGTGGGCAGACCCATAGCGGGCAGGTCGGGAAGGCGGGCCCGGGCGACCAGGTCGAGCAGACGGGTTGCTGAAGCGTGGGCCCTGCATGAATCGCGAGGAAGTCTCGAGCGATAGCGCGATTCCCAAGTACATCGTGAGAAAAGCCAAAGCGAGAGCGTGATTCCTGAGCGCCGCTGGCGCATCGTCTGAATAAATTGCGAACAACTCCCACGCGAGAGCGCGATTCGTATACAAATTTTGCGGAAGTCCCGCGCGAGAGCGCGATGTGGGAATAATTTGTGAGGGAGTCTCGGGCGGGAGCCGCTGTTGTTGTACACCGGGGGCCAATGGCACAGTTTGAGCCTAGTGACTTTCCGTGATAAAAAACAAGGTGCGAGCCCCGGGAGAAACACTTCGATTGAACGAATACAATGGTCACCAGAGGGGGGGGGATCAATACCCCCTCTGGTCTGCGAGCCGCAGCCCCTGACCCAGACCGAATGGGCACGAGAATCCTCGGCTGGCAGCGCCTGGCCGCCTTCGCGGGCGCGTGCGTGCAGGGCGAAGACGCTGCGTGGCCGTGAGGAAGAGGCGGAGGAGGCGGAGGAGGACGAGGAGGGAGAGCACCGCTGCTCACAACGGGCGGCGAGAACACAACGGGGTGTGAGCCACCAGGCCCCGCCGTTAGGCGCGCGCGCCCGCGCCATGCGCAGGGGGAGGCCAGGAGGAGGAGGACGAGGAGGAAGGAGGGCAGAAACAGGGAAGGAGGGAGGAAGGTCCAGAAAGCCCTTGAGACGTCCCCGCAACCACGTTGCGGGAAAAGACATGCGACCAGAAGCAGGTGGAACACAGCAAGTGCTGAACCAGTCAACCATAGTTACTCGTCAGTAGTGAGAGCTCAACAACAACGAAGAGCAACAACAACGTGTGCTTCACATGAAGCAATGAACGCATGCAGACCCTACACGAAAGACGATTGTTTTCTCCGTAGCAGCCCTTCCAACACGGATTCTTGGTGATTTCAATTGCGAAGCATTTGCAATGGCCGCCACGAGTGGATCGTTTTGTTTGCAACTGCATGTCCAACACTACCCCATGTGTGGCGATCTTCGAAACGGATAATAACTGTGGGGGGTCTGCACTGGCCTCCAGCATGCAGATCCTATTGCAGCACGCTCTTGCAAAAGGGATCATTGCTTACGGTCTTACAAAGTAAACCCTTTGTGCAATCTATGTGGTGCGACATAAATCGTGCAATTCACTTTGACCGTTTTAAAGCTGTCCTCTCCACTGCTCGTGCAAACATCCCACCCTCCCACCCACAACTTGGTCGCAAGACCTCTTAAGACAAGACCGTGACGGTAGGTACCACATGGCACTTGGCCACGACACCGACGCCGACGACGACAGCGACAACGACGTTGACGGCGCCGCCGACACCGAATACGACGACACCGACAACGTCTCCAACGACTTCGACGACGACACCGACGACGACGACGACACCGACGACGACGACGCCGACGACGACGACGACAACGCCGACGACGACGACGCCGACGACGACGACGCCGACGCCGACGACGACGAAGACAACGACGACGACGACAACGACGCCGCCAACGAAGACGACGACGACGACGAGGGAGGAGGGAGGACGACGACGGCGACAACGACGACAACGACGAGGGAGGAGGGAGGACGGCGACGACGTGAACGACGAAGAAGGAGGGAGGACGGCGACGCCGACGACGACAACGATGAGGGAGGAGGGGAGACGACGACGGCGACGACGACGGCGTCGAAATAGGAGGGTCGACGACGAGACGCCGACGACGGACGACGACGACGACGACGGAGGAGGAAGGACGACCACGGCGACAACGACGACGGTAAAGACCACGGCGCCAAAGAGGACGACGACGACGAACACGAGGAAAGACAGAGGACGGCGTACGCGACGACGACGACGACGACAACGCGGGAGGAGGGAAGACGGCGACGACGACGACGACGCAAGAGCGCGCGCGCACGCTTTTGTCGAACATCCGTGTTGCGAAACCTTGTGTTGTTGTAGGTTGTTCGGACACACGATTTTGAAATCCGTCCGAAACCGATGGGTTTCGAAGGAATTCGGAATTCGCGCGCGACGACGCGCGCGTCTGCACTTCGTCTCTTTTTTTTCCAAAGGATTCTCGCGACCGCACACGCGCAAGGGCGCTCGACAGATTCCGACATGCGCGCGCGCGAAGCCCGTTTGGTGGCATTTTGTGAAATCTTGAAAAACCTATAGTTTCCTCCGGATTTCGCAAGAGCTCGCGCGTAAGCTTTTTTAGCGCAGCGGTGTTGCGAAACCCTGTGGTTTTTGTATGTTTTTGGGGGAAACTCGATTGCGGAATCCTTCCGACACCGACAGTGTTTGAAGGATTTCGGCATGCGCGCGACGATTCGAGCGCGCGCACTTCGTCTTTTTTTTTGTTGCAAGGGATTCGTGAAACAAGTCTTATGTTCGAGCAAACATGTCCCCGCGTATCGTTTTTTCTTACCAAGGAACCTCTGGGGGGCCGATCCCGGCCCCTCGGGGACATTGTAAATTCATATTTAGGATGGACATGTGGTCAGAATCACCTATGATATACATACCCGAAAGAGGGGCCGATAACGCCGGGGGGGGTAGAGTCTATTCTCTCCTTAAGGAGAATTCACCGATGCCCAACTCGAAATTGTCCACTCCACTGCTCGCGCAAGCATCCCACACACCCACCCGCAACTTGGTTTGTAAACCCCATGCGGAATCGATTGCGATGAGCGCTGGATGTTGGCTGGTGCATCTCTGCGGCAGCGCTGGCCCGCGCATGCTCGCGCGCGCAGCGGCCAGCTAGTTTGGCGCGACCGACGCGCACGCGGTGGCGTTGACCGTTCGTCACGTCCCAGCGGGCACTTCAGTGCGAGTCGGCGATCTGGGCGGGCGCGGTATCATGGCAACGTCGACAACGATTGACACGACGAATATGGTGACAGCGACGACGGGGCAGCCAGTGACGGCGCCAATGCTGATCACGCCGACGACGATGACGGCGTCTTCGCGTCGGTGATGAGGGTTTTGGAAAGAGTTCGCAATGCGCGCGCGGCAGACGCGCGAGAGTAGCTCGCATGGTATTATTTGACACGGATCGTGCCACCCCAGTACGCGCGAAAGAGTGTTCTTACGATTTCGACATGCGCGCACGCGAAGTCCGTTGGGTAACATTTTATGACAATGTTGAAGGCCGTATGGTTTTCTCAAGAATTCGCAAGAACGCGCGCTCACGCGTTTGTTGAACATCCGTGTTGCGAAACCCTGTGTTTTTTGTTATGTTTGTTGGACACTCGATTTTGAAATCCGTCCGAAACAACAGGTTTTCGAAGGATTTCGGCATGCGCGCGAGACGACGCGCGCGCGTACACCTCGTCATATCTGTTGCAAGGGATTCTTGCAAAATTATGATGTTTGATCAACGAGTGTGCGCGCATGGTATTTTTTGCAGAGGATGGAAGGGGGGGAGGGCGATACCGGCCCAGCTGGGATAGTATGAGTTCACAATTAAGGTGGACGATGGGGCAGAATCGTGTGTAAATAACAATACGAAAAAGTGAATGGATAAGTCCGGGGGGGGGGGGGTAGAACCTATCTCTTTTTTTAAAAGGGGAATCTATGCTGTGCAATCCAGGCGGCCACGGGATGAGTGGCGGCGACGGCGACGATGGTGTGGCGACGGCGACAACATAGCCGCCGAACCGACGCACAGGCCCAGACAACGAAAGACGACGAGGCGGCCACGGTGCGGCGACGGCGACAACATGGCCGTCAGACCGACCCGCAAGCCCACTTCGATCGAAAAAACATGACCCCTAAGCGCAAGCATTGTTTGGGGGACCGTGTGCGGAGGGGGTCGCGCTACTCCCGCGCGGAGGGAGAGACACGCGGTTCCGGGCGCCAAGTCGTACGACTCCCCAGCCACACCTGGCAATCAAATGGGAATTGAGATTAAACCCAGATCCATCCCCGAAGGATGGGAAAATTGATGCACGCTCCTGGGTGCCTGGGGTGACACATTCGTGGCGAGCTCATGGATGGGAGGGGGGAGGATGTAAGCAGGATCAGATATTAGCCCGCTAGCCCAAAGAGAATTCTCTGGGTATTTGAAGTAAGCCCTCATAAGTTCAACGTGTTGAGGGAACCTCACGCGAACAATCAGTGTCACACCGCACTCAAAACAGAAATGCTCCCAGAGGGAGGGGCTAGATGCAGAGCGCTTGGGGCATGGCCCTTGGTGAAACAAGGTCCCCAGAAGCAATGCACGGAGCGGTGCCTTCGAATGCGTGCCAAAATGTGCAGCGCCATCCTTGTCCAGAAGACGAACTATGGGGCTGAGGAGGAGAGGGAGGTCAGGGTGAGACGTGTGCACGTGTCGCGAAGAGTCCTGCGATCACGACGAGCGTAGCGCAGAAGGCGACACGAAACGCGCAACATCACGGGGAGCAAAACACGTGACCACGAGGCGGTCGCCCATGGGGGTGACCCACTTAGCCAGGGACGCGTCTGAGTGATGATGCAACCACCACCGCAGCAGGTCCAGCCACAGTGCACGTCGGTCAGAAAACGCAGGTAAAAACATGAAGCAGGAAGGCGGATGCAGCAGATTGGGTTCGGGCCCGCCCAAGAGTAATGGCACACAACCAAAACACATCGGTCCTTGAAGCGGGAAAGCGCTTGTAGCAAATTGGGACCTAGGATTCCGGAACAACATACAAAAAAAAACATATGATTTCGACGACCGGCGTGTGCTCAATGCAGCCGCACGCTGGATGAGGAGGAGCAGGATGTGCCCTCTCCCTCCCCCCCCCGTCGGAAGCACGGGGGCGGGGCGCCTGGTGCAGGCGCGGCGCCCGCTCCCCGCTGAGCAGCAGCGCTCGCCTGCAGGGGGAGGGAGGGGGAGGAGGGGGGAGGGGTGAGGCAGGGGGAGGGAGGGGGGGCAGGTGAGGGAGGGGGAGGGGGAAGAGCGGGGGGGGGGTGAACGGGGGCGGGGTGGGAGAGAAGCGGGGGGGGGGGATGGAGGTGAAGAAGGGGGAGAGGGAGAAGCAGGAGGGAGGAAGGAGGGGGGGAGCCCGAGGGAGGGAGGAGAAGGGAGAGGAGGGAGGAGGAGGAGGTGGAGGCAGGGAGAAAGGAGGAGGAGTGAGGAAGAGGAGGGGAGAAGCGGGAGGGACGGCGGAGGAGGAAGAGAATGGAGAAGCCGGAGGTACAGAGGGGGAGGAAGCGGATGGAGGAGCGGGCCGGAGGGTGGTGGGAGAGGAAGCGGGAGTTGGAGGGAGGGAGCGGGGATTGGGAGGCAATTGTGAAGGAGGGGAAGGTGGATGGGGGAGGCGGAAGGGGAGGAGGGGGGGGAGGCGAGGGAGGTGGAGGGATGAAGAGGGAGGTAGAGGAGGAGGGAATGGATGAGAGAGGAAGAGAGGAGGCAGAGGAAACAACATGATCAGGACGGAGAAAGCTGTTAGGGGGTATGGGTATTCCTCATGCCTCCGTTCATGATGTCCACATCTCCTGTGCCCTGACGATAGGAGCGGGGATGCGGAATCGGAGGGCGGAGGTGGATGGACGAGGGCGGAGCCAAAGCCTCCCATGCTCCTCTGCCACCTCAGCCCCTCCCCCCCCCTTCTACACATCGTACTCCAACTCCGCCTCCTATCCCACTCCCTCCGCCCTCACCCTCCTCATAACGCTGCCCTGTGCAATCCTGCGTCGGAAGCTCGTTGATTATATGACCGCGTCCTCTCCCCCTCCGCCCTCCCCGACTTCACGTCTCCCTAAGGGCCAAGCCTCGCACTAGGGTCCGCAAGGTGGCTTCCAGGCACCGGACTCCAGGCCGCGTGCATCTCATCCTCACAGGTAGAAGGGTGTAGATCTCTGGTGATACACAGGGCTGGGAGCAGGGGGGGGGGGCCATCCACAGCGTCCTCCGAACAACAATCACCACCTCCAAGGCTGATCTCGCCGTGGCGACGAGGCCCCCGCCCACCACCCCCAAGGCCCAGAAAAGGAAGAGGAGCCAGAGGAAGACCCAGCGGCCCGCATTGTGTCAAGACGCGGGCCCCGCAGCTCTCGACCCTGTCCCGGGGACCGACTCTTCGCCCCCCTGCAGCTCTCTCACAGCCCAGGAGCCCGAATCGGGGCCGCGGAAGCCGAGACTTCGACGTCGTGACGCCAGAGGTCTTGGTCCTCTCCTCCTCCTCCTCCTCCTCCTCCTCCTCCTCATTCTACTCCTCATCCTCCTCCTCCTCCTCCTCCTCCTCCTCCTCCTCCTCCTCCTAGTCCTCCTCCTCTTCGTCATTCCTTCCCTCCCTCCCTCCCTCCCTCCCTCCCTCCCTCCCTCTCTCATTCCTTCCTTACCTCCCTCCCTCCCTCCCTCCCTCCCTCTCTCCCTCCCTCCTTCCCTCCTAATGCTGGCTTGCGGCACGAGCCCAGCGCGTCGCTTGCCGCCGAGCGTCCGCGTCATGCAGGCGTGGAAAGAGAGAGAGAGAGAGAGGCACAGGCCTGCCTCCTCCTCCGACTCCGCCGTCGAGGCAAACCAGCGGCGCAGCCGCTGCCCTGGGCTCTTCCTGTTCCTGGGCCTCCTCGCCATCCGCCGCCGCCCTCCTCCCTGGAGTACTGCCGTGGCGCCGTCTGCTGTTGTTCCTGTTCCACCGCTGCCATGAGTTCAGGGCCAAACACCTCAGTGCTTCCCCCGCGCCCGCTGGAAATTCCAGTCGCGTCTTCAGCAGTGTCCAGTGGCGCGGCAGTGGTGACAGGCGCAGGCCCAGCGACCGAGCAGCTCTCGTCTTTCCCCGTTCCACCTCCTGGTATTTTCGGAGATGCTTCTTCAAGTGGTTCGGTCAAGGCCATCGATGTCCCTCGTCCGCCTCTCGTTGACGAACAGCAGCGCTGTCTCAACAGATGGTCTCGCATGTCATCACCGCGACCTGCCAATGATGCTTCCGCTCCTCCTCTGTCGGCTCCACTCAGTGCCCGCGCCTGTCCCCGTGGGTCGCCCCCTGTCGCCTCCCCAGACGCACGCGCGGTCCTCGCCTGAGCAGGCTGCCAGGCGACGCGCTCGTCAGGCTTGTGCAGGCGATTCGGACTGGCGGCGAGCAAGGGGGGAAGTGAGAAGGGGCGGGCCTTCTGAGAAGGCTCGGAAGTCCCCCCGCCTCCTGAACAGCTCTCTGAGCCTTCCCCGAAGTAGACTCCAGAAATCTCTCAGAAGGCCGGAGGGCTTCTGAGAAACTCCGCCGCCTTCTGAGAAGGCCTTCTTCTCCTCACTTCCCCCCCTCGCTCGCCGCCGATTACAGTCAACCCGTATAGTAAGGATGCGCGATAAGGATGCAAGGGCCTTGGACGTCCACTTCCAAGCTTTTCGAGCGGGGCGCGGCCAACGAAAGTGGCCAAGGATGCACCGAGGAGGCAAGGATGCAAGGGCACCCTTGGGAAAGTTGCCCATCCTTATTATGCGGGTTGACTGTCAGGCTTGCTCAGGCGACTCGGAACATCAGCTGGATATGCCGCCTGCCCTCTGCTAGTAGCTGTGCAGACGCGCAGCCCCTTCCATTCTCTCCTCGGAGCGCGTGCTGCCCCCCTCGCCCTGCCCCCGAGGGCCCCGCCCCCTGTTCGCGCTCCCGTTCTCCCCACTTTCAGAGGTCGAGGATGCAGGGCGACGTAGCTCTAGGGCTAGACCCCTCGGTCGGAAGAAACGGGTAGAAACATGAAGTCGGAAGGCGTTGCAAAGAGATTGGGCTTCCGCCCGCCCCCTGAGGAGGAGGAGGGAAGAGGGAACACCACTCGACTCTCAGAGTCGGAAGGCGCCCGAAGAAGATTGGGACTTGGGCGACGTCAGCGTGCACCTCTGGGCCGGGCGGCCGGGAATCACATGCGGAGGCGCCGTTTCAATTCGGCGCTCTGCCAGCACGAGCGTCCGCCGCCCCTGCCCACGCGCGAGCCTCTCTCGAGGCATCGGGACACGTCCAGCCGCCTCACGAAGGACCCTGGCAAGGCTGCGGGGGCGGGGCTGCCGATTCATGGCAGCCTCCCAACTCCAAGGCCGCGCTGACGGCGTGCCTGGTGAACGGTGCGGTTGGGAATCTCGTTTTTTGTGCGACACCGATCTCGCGCAAAGCAAGATGTAGGAAACCACGCGGCCGGCTTCGCAGCGCCGGGATGTGCAAGGCAAGCAAGAGGGTCCTGTGCGTCGGGCCTGCTGGGTAGCATCCGCCCGCCAGCACGAGGAGGACGGCTGGAGTGCTTGATACGCTTGCAGCTTACGGGCATATCCCAATATATTTCCCCCTGTGCCAGGAAGCTATGCCGCTTGTTCCTGTTCCGCCTGTGCTGGGCCCTGTCTTTCTTCACGGGCCTCTTCGTTCTTCCGTGCTGCCATTCTCTTTGCATCAGACTCTAGGCACTGCCGCAGGTCTGTCCAGGTCCTCTGCTTGTGGGACGCGCCCCTTCGGCCTCCACTCCAGGCGGGCTCCGCCCAGTCTCCAGCACTCATCTTGCGGCACAGTCATTTTCGTCTGCGTTGGAAACGTCTGCGCTCGCAATCAGCTAGTGCGCGTTCGGGCTGTTTGTTCTTGCACTGGTCTCCGCGCTGCTTTGGGCCTCTGCTGTTACTGGTTTGTCATCAATTGCATCCGCAGCGATCTGCTCAATCCTGTCTTCAAGTTACAATCAATGCGTATCACAAGGATGCGCGGTAAGGATGCAAGGGCCCTGGAGGCCCACCTTAACGCTTTTGAACGAGGCCAGCCAGCGAAAGACCCCAAGGATGGGCCGAAGGGGCACGGATGCAAGGGTACCCTTGGGAAGTCTGACCATCCTGACTGTGCGGGTTGGCTGCACTGCGCGCTCGAGCTGTTCGCCCCTGCGCCGGCCTCTGCGCTGCCGTGGGCCTCTGCTGCCACCGGCCTGCCATCAACTGCATCCGCAGCGATCTTCCCGATCCGCTGCCTTCGAATCGGGGGCCGTCCGTCTGCCTTCGTCCCCCCGCGGGGCCTCGCTCTTCGCCGTGTGGATGTCATGACAATGGACACTCTAAGAATCCGATCGTTGAATTAAAAGCGTGTTTTAAATGTGTAGGGCATGCTCTAAAAATGCTTCAGACGTGTTTCTACACATTTCAAACATGCTTGAAACATTGTCTGGACACCTCGAAATCATTTGGCAGCATGCTTCATCTCCATTAATCGACTTCCACAACCTTCGCCCCCCGTGCGCTTCTGATCCTGCGGCCCGCTCCGAAGCCGCGGCCCCTTTGACGCTTGTTGCTGGCTCGTCGTCGTTCTCGTCGCTGTGCGGCCCCCGCTCGGGTACTCGTGCCCATTCCTCGTGGGCCTGGCGATGTCTGTTCGCCCGCGCATCGCGGAATGGCTTTGCTTGCTGCCGCGCCGGCAGCCACGCTCTTCGCTCCTCCCCCCCTCTCTCCTGCAAGCTGGGTTTGGGCGCACGCCCGTCGGGCCTTCGGGCCTCTCATGAGTTCCCACTCGATGTGTGGTCTGCCTGTCGCGCTACTTTCTGCGATGGCGGATGCAGATTTCAATCGCGGCAGTGGCCGCCCGTTGTCCCAGGTGCGCGAGTGTCACTTGCATGGGAGATAGGACCTGGCTTTGGTTGGGAGGCCAAGGCTATGACTACTACAGCGTCGTGGAGACCCACCTGCGCTACGGGAAAAAGGTCCAGAAGCTTGACAACCGGGCTCCAGATTTTGGCCTCAGGTCATTTGCAAATAAAACTTGCCGCTGTAATGAGACTGTGGCAGAGTCCCTGACTAAGCACAGCAACGAGGAATGTGAGCGTTTTTTATTCGGCGTTTCGACATTGGGCGGAAGGGTGGGGGAGGGGGGGGGTCTGGCTCTGGACCTCTGCTTAGTGCGACTGTTTGGAACCGTGCGTCGTATGGGGTAGGAACTCCACCTGCTCGAAACAGGCGCCAGAAACGGCCAAGATCTACTCCATAGGGGGGGGGGATAGGGGGGGGGGGGGGGGGCCACGCCGATCTGCAGAACAATGAATAAAACGACGATCACAAGGAGAGTGCATCATGTCATCATGTATGAGGGGCACCTGCGGGCCCTCTGGCTCCAGCTCGCCCGCTCAGCCGGGCCCACACTTTCAGGCGCCGAACCGGCCGCAGTGCTCCGACGGCTTCGTGGCGGTCGTGGCGCACCTGGCTGAAGGGTCCATCGTGATCGTCTCGTCCTGCGCGCACGATGGAGCTGGAGCTCGGGGACTGAATGCCGGACACTATCAGCGGTTACCAGGCCTGCCCTGGCTGAGCGTCCGTCGTGATCGACTCGTCCGACGCGCCTGATGGAGCTGGAGTTCAGGCCTGCTCTGGTCTCTGCAGTTGCCCAGGACTGTCTTGGGCGATTTCGACCTGAGCCCTGAACAGCTTTAGAAATCGGGGACTCCTCGACGTTTGCACGACACTGTGATGACGGCAGGAGAGACAGCTACTTGTAATCTAGGCTCGGGAACGGTCATTGACTACCTCATGTGCGGTGAATCTGCAACTCCGTTTGTCGTGGCCATCGATCCTGTCTGAAAGGTTCCATGGAGACATCGCATAGGACTCGAGGTTAATGCGCGTAGCACAGGTGAGCAGCTTCTCACGCGCCTTCTTGTGACTCCTGGGCGCCTCCACCAGATTCCCTGGCCTCGCGCATAGGCCACTCCAGACCCTAAGTCCAGTCTTGCCCGTGCCGGGCGCAGTGTCAAGCGCCAGCTTGCAGTGGAGAAGCGAACCCAAACATTTCATTCCTTGTTTGCGGATTGCGCTGAGCAGTACCCGCTTGCGACTCCTGTGGACAATGCTTCTGGGGAAGATGTAGGTGTTTGCACGGGAGACAGGGAGCACAGCACTGATTTAGATTTTGGGGAATGGCCCATGGGCCCAGGAGCTCCTGTCCAGATACGTCTCGTGGCCAGGCACTCGTCCGTGGGCCGTTAGCTAGGCCCCGCCAGGTCGTCGCTCGAGGGGAATTGCGCGCGCTGTTTTTAGCCATATGGATGACAGCAGGTTTCATTATACGGTTCAGACTGCGAGCCCGTAGTCCAGGGGTGGCTCGAGAAACGTTTCGAGCATCCCTCAGGCCCCGATACCGACCTCTGGGCCAGTGTAGGCAGCCTCCTCCTCAGTCGCAGTCCCGCTCACCTCAGCACTGTTGTCTTTGTGCACTCGCATCAGACCGCAGGGGATGTAGTCAGGCTGCCAGCCAAGATGTGGATGGTCACTGCTGACGCGCTTGCAGATGAAGCTGCGGGAGAGGCGGCGCTCGAAGCCAGGCTCCCAGTCACAGTGCGCCAGACTGTTCTGTTGCACGAGCGCAGAGCGCGCCTCGTTCGCACGAGGATCTTGCGCGCCACCCTGGGCGCGTGTGCGGCCGAGAAGGCCGAGCCGCAGCAAGCAGAAGGCCGGCGTCGTGCCTCAGGGAAGAAAAAACGCACCTCCGCTGCTGCTGCTGCTGCCTCTCCGCCGCCTGCTGCTGCTGCTGCTGCTGCTGCTGCTGCTGCTGCCCTCTCCCGTTTGCTCCTCGCCCCAATGCCTCGACAACAGTGGTCGGGGCGGAAGGAGACGCGGGTGCTCTGCGGCCAAGTGCTGCCTCACAGAGTGGCGGCAGTGTCCATGCTGCGAGCCTGGGAATTGCGACGGCACAACCTCGAAGACACCTCCACGGGCTAGGCTTCACACAGCAGGCGGATGGGTTCATGAGTCACATTCGCTGCAGTTTCATAGTAAGCTTTGCTTGTGTTACTGCATTGGGTGTGGCTGCTATGCCAGCCAACAGTGGTCCGATTTAGGCAGAGCTTGTACGCTTTAGCTTGCCCCACATAGATCATGGTACCTTGATAGAATTTCCCGTGGTCTATGGCCGAAGGTCTTAAGCTCTGCAGAGAAGCGTGCCAGAGGAGTCCAAATGTAATTCACAAGCCCAAAGAAGCCCAGCGCTTCAGCGCAGTCCTGACATCGCCACGTGATCATATTTATGCCCATGCTCCTTCCCCACAATTACACTATATGATTACTACTCTCCTCTCCCCCCTGATGACGTCCGGGAGATCTTCGGACCACTCCGTGTTTTTTCACACACACAGGATTTTCTTTGGAACTGGGTTTTCGCTTGGATAAATGTTGCTCCCGCTGAAGCGCTGGCCTCTTTCGGCCTTCCGCTCGTTCCGAATCGTGCTCCCGCTGCAACACTGGCCTCATTTCCGCGCTTCCGCTCGTTCCGAATTGTGCTCCCTTCTGCAGCGCTGGCCTCATTTCCTGGTTTTCATATGTTTTTGGGGGAATCCGATTCTTTTCGGTCCTTCAAAATGTTGCTCCCGCTGCAGCGCTGGCCCCATTTCTGCGCCTCCGGTTGTTCCAAAACGTGCTCCCGCTGCAGCGCGGGCGTTTTCGGTCCTTCCAGATAGGGCCCAAATCCACAAAATTACCACCATAAAAAACATCGAACGTGTTTACACATCCGGTACCGATTCGTGAGTTTGGCCCGCAGAAGGCCCCCCCACTTTGGGGCGGCGGCGTTTGGAGGAAGTATCAAGCGGGAGCCCCGTTTCTGCTTTCAGAAGGCGATGTTGCAAGCAGGGCCAGTGGGTGCTCTCCATCAGCTCCGCCTTGTGGGGAGCTTGTCGCGGAGCCCAGGGATCTAAACATGGAGCCGCGACTCCAGACTGGCCCCGACCCTCCGAAGACTACCCACTTACCCTCCAAGGAACACGGTGCCCTGCCATGACATGCTGTGCGGTGTTCTGCTCTGCGCCGCTGTGCGATGCCATGCTTTGCGTTGCAATGCTTTGTGATGCAATGCTTCACTACAAAATGCCACGCCATGCTATGACACTCTACGCTCTGCTGTGCTCTTCTACGCCATGCCATACCGTGCTCTACGATGCATCGCGCACCCTCTCGCGATCATTGCCCTGCTTTGACGTCCGACTGTGCGAATAGAGCGAAGATCTACGCCATGGTAAGGGATGGGAGGGAGGGGAAGGACGTCAGACATGACGCGAGCGCACCTAGCTTGCCCTCTCCCTCCTCCCCCTTCTCCTTCCTCCCCGACTCCACCCTGCCATTGCTGGAGGTGTGGGATCGGGCTCCTCACTACCATCGGGGAGAAGCGGAGCTGGAAGCCGCGGTAACCCTCGGCGTAGGCGAAGAAAAGCACAGACCTCGGACGGTGGAGGCACAGACAGAGGAGCTCCTCATCCACCCTCCCCCCCCTGCGATTTCCTCCCCTTCACCCTCGCTCCTCATCCTTCATCCCCTTCTTCCCCTCCTCCTCCTCCTCCTCCTCCTCCTCCTGCTGCTGCTTCTCTCCAACCACCTCCTACTCCTTCTCGTCCTCGCCCTCGTCCTCCTCCTCATCCTCCTCGTCCTCGTCGCCCTCCTCATCCCTCATTCTCCCCCTCCTCCTTCTCCTCCTTCTCCTCCTCATCATCCTCCCTCCTCAGTCTCCCTCCTCCTTGCCTTCCTCCTTGCCTTCCTCCTCCTCCTCCTCCTCCTCTTCCTCCTCCCTACTCCTCCCGTCCGCCTTCCCTCCCTCTCTCTTTCCCCTCTCTCCCTCCCTCCCCTCCCTGCCTTCCCTCACCCCCACTCCTCCATCATTCCCTTCTACTCCCTTTCTGTCCTCCTTCGTTCCCGTCTCCTCTATCTCCCCTTTCCCACCACCGCACATGCTGTTAGAACAGGCTGGGCGTCTCGCTTCAGAAATCGTCAACTTGAAGACAATTCACCTACACCGATTGACGGTGAAACGACCCATCACACGTGTGGCTTTGGTTTGGTGGGCGCCGCCAACATGCGTTTGCACACTTTGCAACGTCTGATCGGATGAATGCCGGGGTATTTCCACACTGTGTCTCCTACCTTAGCGCCGCACGCGCTCGCCTGAAACATGTCCAACCGTTAGGCGGATGAGTATGGAGTAATCGTCGAATGCGGTTCGCCGTAGCACCGCACACATTGGACTTCAGTGTGTTCACCAATTGCACGGCTGGAGGGCGGCTCTATTTCATCATAGGGCTCTCGCTTGAGATTTCATCACGCATACTCGCCAGACGTTTGAGTATGTGCGCCAGATACGCGACTGAAAGGTTGCTCCATGTATTCCAATTGGAGCGCTCCCTCTGGAAATCCTCCCGTCCTGTGTGCAACAGATGTTTGATAATGTGCGACTTGCCCACTCACGCGCGCTCGAATCCTACCTCTCTTTGAGTCTAGCGTATGTCGAATAAGAAAGACCGCCGCCGAATGCACGAGAACCGTAAACCAACCAACGCCTCCGTTGCTGAAGGCGCGAACCAAGTTGGTGCCCAGGTGGAAGTGCTGGATGCACGGCTTCACATGAATACGCATGGTTGTAATCATGTAGTTCCCTCTGGTGTTGTCACCCCCCCCCGCCCCTGCGACCACCACCAACACAAGTAGGGAGTGGGGAGGAAGGAAGACAAGAGGCGGGGCAGAGGGGGAGACATGTGATGAGACAGCAGGGGGTATGAAGGAGGCACGGGGGGCGGGAGGAGGGAGGGGAGGAAGAGGACGACGAGAATGATGAGGGTGACTGGCAAGGAGGATTCGAAACGAAACGACGAGCGCAAGCCTGCGGGAAAAAAGGACCCTTGAACATCAACGCGGGAGGAGAGGGGCCTTACACCGCGACGGCGGCGTTCACCTGCCTCGGAGAAGTCCGCCTCCCCTCGTCCTCCTTGTCCTTCCCGTCCTCCTCACTCTCCACGTCGCCGTCTTCCTCCTCTTCTCGGAAGATAGCCCCCTATGCCGAATGCGAACGTGCCTCGGTGCCGCAACGAGGAGCTCGACCTCTTCTGCCTCGGCTCTCTCTGTCCACCGACCTGCTGAGAGGAAGACTGAGGAAGAGGCCGAGGAGGACGGGGCGGATCAGGGCGACGAGGGTCAGGAAGACGAGGACGGGCAGCAAGAGGAGGGAGCATGGGATGCTGAAGAGGAGGGGGGCCCCGCTGCTCGCTGCGTTGGCTGCCGCGCGCTCCTCTCTCCCGTGGACGCCCGCCGTCGTGAACGAGCCACACGGCACCGCAAAAAGCACGGCCAGAACCCGAGTACTACCCCTCTTCGAAACGACATCCCGACGGCATCTCAACCCTACTCGGGGGCGGCCAAGAGGGGGGGGCGTCAGGGAGGGAGGAGCGCAAATCATGGCCGGCGGCGTGTGCGCGGGCCGGGGGGGGGGCAAGGACGCATTGAAATACGAGGAAGAGGCGCCATGAGATCCGGGGAAACATCATGGCCCACGCCATGCTATCCACCCCCCTCCCTAGCCCTAGTCATCACCCCCCTCTTTGCCGCCCCCGATGTACCAAGCCTTGGGCCTCTGGATGCCCGTCCTGGGCCCCCGGGCCCCCACGAGACGGCCCGACGCGACAAGCTGCGTCCCCCCCGGGGGGGTCGCGAGGCCTGGGGGGGGCCGCGCCTGGACGAGCAACGACCAACTCAGCAAAACCTTTCGGATTTCCGCGCGGAGGGCCCCCCCCCCCACCACAAGGCAAGGAGCGCGCCAGGGAGCTCCAGCGCCGATCCTGGACATCCGCGGAGGGCTCCGAAAGCCCATGCTCGTGCCCATGTTTCGCCCTCGACGGGGGGCCCTCGCCGCACACGAGTCGGTGGGGCCCGACGCCTGGGAGCAGGGGCGGATCCAGAAGCAGAATCAGCAGCATAAACAGAATCCTTTGGCGCTCCGCGCGGATGTCTTTGGATCTGCGCTGGATCTCCCTCCCCGGCGAGCGGAGCGCGCCAGAGGCGCAGCCGGGGAGGCAGCGCGGATCCAAGAAATTCGCGCGGGGCGCCAACAAATTATGTTTATGGCGTTTTTCGAAGATCTTCTGACCCGGGTCAATCCAGACCCGGGTCAGTCAGGCCTTGCAAGATCCTGCAAAACCCTACAAGATCCTGCAGGATCCTGCGCACTAACCGGGGTCAATGCACCCCTGGCCCTGCAGGATCCTGCAAGATCCGGCGCTCTGGCTGAGACCCGTTTGCACTGACCCCCGTCTCTTGAGCCTCGATTTGTTTTTCTTCGGGTTTCTGGGCCCGACTCCTGCCGAGATCTGGATGGGTCGGCGAGGGCTTGGCTGCGCATTCTGGGGACCTCCCTGGAGCCACTCGTTCCACTATCGCGTCGAAGCTGCGTCGAGCGTCCGTCGATTTGAGCCGACCCTGAGTCGAACCTGAGTCGACCCTGAGTCGACCCCGAGTCGACCCCGAGTCGAACCCGAGCCGAACCCGAGCCGAACTCGAGTCGAACTTGAGTCGAACTCGAGTCGCACTGGGGCCGAACTAGAATCGAACAAATCCGCTAATTGAGCAGGGACCGACCGTCCCAGCATTCCGATAGTCCTACCACGAAATGTTCTTAGAACCCAAAAATATTCGAATATCAACAACAATGTTCTTAGAACATCAACCCGATGTGGTAAAACAGGACAGTCCCAACCAGAAATGTTCTAAGAACATTTCGTGGGAACCACAACATGTTCTCAGAACATTGTTTGGTAGGACTACAGGCGAGCCAGGACGCTTCGCCACTGCTTGAGCTAGGGGGGCCCCGGGAAGGTCCCCGAAACGAGCTCCGAAGAGGGGGCCGCCGAAGGCCCGCCAGGGGGCGCGGGAGAGGCGCGGGTCGGGAGGCCCGGCTCGGCCCCACGGGAGCCGAGGGGGGCGTCCCCCGCGGCTCCACCGAGGCCCCCCCTTCGCCGCCCCGCGCCGCCGGCCTCGGGCCAAGGCCGCGATAACGGCGTGCTTGGTGAACGGTGCGGTTGGGAATCTGGTCTCTGTGGCACCGAGCTCACGGAGAGCGCCATGCGGGAAATCACGAAGGGCCGTTTCCGACGCTTCAAATATATGCGAGTGTACCGAGCGAGAAAACGGCACCGCGAGTGGTAGGAAAACACGAAACACGCGTTCCTACAAATGGTTTGGCCACGAACCGCGCTTTCCTACAATTGGATGTTGTACTTCGCCGTCAGCTAACACACCGTTACCGCGTCTACGGTCGGGGTGGACGAGGTGAGCGTTCTCTTACAGTGAAGGCCAGTCCACAAGAAACCATCCACAAGAAACGCAACCCTGAGACCCCAGGACTTTCATCGATTTTTGGCGTGGGAACGTCACGCTTTCCATCGCAAGACCATCGAAACCCAAGAAACCCAGGGCACCCTGGACGCAAGCAGGGCGTTTCTTGTCATGGGCCCCCACTGTGTCGGCGTTTCGACATTGGGCGGAAGGGGAAGGGGGAGGGATACGGCTCCGGACCTCTGCTTAGTGCGACTGTTTGGAACCGTGGGTCCTGTGGGGGAGACCCAAACTGCTCAAAACAGGCGCCCAAACCAGCTAAGATCTACTCCACCCGCGCCGATCGTCAAAACAACGAATAAGAACACGATCACGAGAAGGCGTAAAGGGGTCCAGGGACACACAAAGAAGTAGACACACATTCTATGGATCACCTTCTGTTTTACGATATGTTCTGGAGTTTCGTCTTCCCCCCCCACCTCCAATGTGTTCCTGTATTTCCCGCGGGATCGTCGATGTTGTGTGTCTGTTTGTGGTTTCCCCTCCTGAAGGTGGGGGAGCAGAAGTGAGGTTGGCTGGAGGGATGGATATTTTACACGTTGATGGGAAACTGGAGCCTGCTTTTTCTGTTACAACCTAATCGTACCGTAGAGACGCACGGAAAGGATGCAATGGCCTCGGAAGGCCATGTCGACACTTTGCGAGCGGGGCGCGGCCAGCGCAAGCGGCCATTGATGGGCCGAAAGGGAAGGATGCAAGGGTAACCTTGGAAGGTTGATCATCCTTACTATGCGGGTTGAATGTAACGGACGTGACCGGGGGAGGGGGGGCGATTTCGGCCCCCCCGGTCACTTCACAGCGGGGGGGGCGCCGGCAACCTTCGGAAATCCTCGAAGAATCCGTAGGGAATATTTGCAAATGTGGGCACAATATCGTGACGTGATCCAGGGGGGGAAGGGAGAGAGACAGCCGATCACGGCCGTTCTCTCCCAGACCTAAAAAACAGGCTCCTGAATCGAACTGCCGCGCGTTGCTTTACGAGCAGAACCAGTAGCCGCCAAGCCGCCAGTGAAGCATCGGGTGAGGGGGTGCAGCGCATCTGGTATTTTATCAAATAGCACATCGCGGAAATTTGGGTTTCTAGGGCTTCCGACGCGGAAAAGCAGAAATAGGATTGGCGAGTCGGCTGCATACAGCTGGTTTTCAGGGCGCTGGGAACGACTGTATTTCGACGAATGTATCGGAAAGCGAGACCGCAAACGGGTGTGTGCAGCAAGTGTCGTGACCTCTTTCGCAAATCTTCAATATTAATACAACTATCCTCTCTTCCCTGGCAATGCGCCGGCCAGCGTATTGTTCGGCACGCGCTGACTTGTAACACGTGATCTTTCACATCGTTGATTCTAGTCGGAGCGTGCTGGATCCTTAGAAATCCCGCAACAACTTTGGTCACAATTTAAGATCTGTGCATCGCTCCCGTCGTCGGGATGGCGGTCTCGCCCGAACGCAGGCCACACTTCCAAATCCGATTCGTTCTTCATCGTCGTCGCAATCACTTTGTTTTCCCCTTCTCCGCGTTCCGCTGATCCTCCTGGTTTTCCTACTATTCCTCATCCCCCTCCATTATGCCCTTGCTCTTGTGCCTCATATGCCTCCTGTTGTTTGTCTGATCGTCATCCTCGCCCTCCTCTGCCTCCTGTTTATCATCCGCTTCCCGTTCCTCTTTTCCTCCCTCCGTGGAGAAGCTCCCAGTTTCCGATTACGCAACAATTTATTGATTAAATCCTACGACAACCAAGTGACCAGTGAGGTCCTAGGACGCCCCAAACGGCGGATCGATAATATCTCAACACAAAAGGAAGGGATGGGTGGAATGCACATGTGGCGCGAAACGCACCTACCTTACCCCTCCCCGCAGTCGTGCGCCCCCGCGGGCATCCTTGCTGGTGGGGAAACAAAAAGATACGGATCGCTCCACACCCCAGACCCCATCGGGGCGCGTTCTGACCAGGATTTCGCAACGACTCCACCGGTGGCGACGAAGACGGGGCAACAGCATTGAAACCGCTCGTGATCTTGTGCGTCGCGGGAGGCCAAGAGCGGAACACGGAGCGGTACATTTTGACCCGTGCAATGGTTTCGGTAATTTGTCCTCCTTTGAAGCGCGGTGGCGTGTGTAGAAGACGAAACTGCATCAACATTTATTTCCGGAGATCCGCCAACATTTCTTCGATCCGCGCTGGACCCACTTTCCCGGGCGCCATCGCCGATCCAAGACATGCGCGCCTAACTCTAGAAGCGTATGTTGATGAAGTTTCTCTTGATCGACAGTGGGAGCCAAACGAGGGCCACACCGCTGCGCCGCTGAGGGCCGCGCGACATGTAGGCCACCCACCCGCCGGCGGTCAGGCCGGTCCCGAACGGCTGGAGGGCAACGGGCACCACCCGACGCATGCCTGGGATCCCCGCCGCCACGCGCCCTCCCCTCGGGCGGCGGAAAGGGACCATAGTTACTGTTGCAATTTTTTTTTTTTGTCATGTGCCTATGTTCGGGGTAGCTGGCGCGGTTGAGCAGAAGGAGAGATGTGGGCACGCGCAGACGCTGCCGAGGAACCTCGAACATCCTGGCTTGAGGGTTGCACGCGTGGTGCGCCCGGGGAGCGGCCCTGTCCGAGCCTCAGACGCCGACAGAACGAACCCGCCCATTGGTGGTCACCGGAACATGCGAATGCACGGAGAAACTCGGATGACTACGGCTCGGGGGCTCAAGTGGTCAGTCGAAATTCGTCGGAACTGTCGCCAAAAATACATGACCAGTGATTTGGGGGACTTGGCCGGAGAAGGCTCTGTCAGGGTCCTGACTCGCGGGCCGCACCTTTGCCCAGGGGGTCCAAGCTGGGGGTGGCTGGGTCTCCCGAAGAGAAAGGGCCTTGGAAATGCATTCATTTGCCGGCGATCCCCGGCGGCGCCACGGCAACCGCCCTTCCCGGCCGCGCGGATTACATCAACGATGGTTGCCGCGTTTCTGTTCCAGGACAACACTGAAATTCACGTCTGTGGTCGAACAATCTCGTCTGAATCCCCCCTTCCCCCGATTGCTGCTGCCGCTGCTGGCCCTTTCCTTTCTCCTCCGCCTCCAAGCGAGTGCATCCTCGCAAAAGCTGGGTTCACTGCGCGTACAACAAGTCGACGTGGCTGACTATCGCCGTCTCGCGTCGATGAGAGCTCCGAGACGCCGCTCGCACACGGAAAATGCGCCAGGCCCAGGGCGCATCCGCTGCGGGCGCGAGCGGCGAACTCGGATGCGGCGCTGGGCCGACAAGCCGCAGCGCGCGCACCGCGCCAGTTCGCGCAGTGCTCGCCGAGGATACGGTGGACATGGTCGAGAATGAAAGACAAAGGTGGGAGGGGGGATCAGGCGCGAGCAAACGAAAAAAAACGGGCGGGGGGGAAGGGGGGGGAAGGGCGGGCACAGGAGAGGAGCAGCGACAACAGAAAAAACGCACATCAAAGCGGAGAGGACCAAAAAGGACAAAAAGACGACTCCAAGGACATGAGGAACAGCGTTTGGCCGCCAGGCCGTCGCTAATTGGAAACATTGGTATACAGATGGCCGCAATGTCTGCCTAGATAAGCGTCAATGAGTCGATCGACGAGATCAGCCCTACTGCCGGGATATCATCATGTGTAAGGGCGTTCACGCGAGCTCGGATGTGGGTTCTCCCTCCTCCTGTCCATTGGGTTTCGTCCCTCTTCTCCACGAGCCCGTTCTCATCGAACCACGCCTGAATGCGCCTCTCCAGATCCCCAGAAGAACCTGCCCGACTAGCCTGTCGCACTCTGGGTGGCTGAGAGGCCTCTCCCGCAGGCCGCCATCGTGGGAAAGATTGCTGCCCGCGCCAGCTTTCACGTTCATCTCGAGATGACTGCGCTTGCGATCGTGGAAATTCTTGAGCTTCGCAAGCTGAACTTCCTCTGCGGTCGCCTTCCATCCGAGGGTCTGGCATTTCGTGCTGTACGTGGTCAGGTCCCCGATCTTGGGCTAACTCGCCTGCGTGCCGTGCTTGGCGAGATAGTCCATCCACATGTGCAGGCGAGCATTCCGCGCGCGGATGCGCGGGATGCCCAGCCAGTCTTTGCGCTGCACGGTGTCCTAGATATTCTCCGCTGCTTCGTGGTACTTCTGGATTGTCGCCTTCACGATCATGACGAACGAGCGCTCCACGGCGTTCGTGAAAACCTCGAGCATGACGCACCTCAAAAACTGGGTGTACCGACCAGACCGATCAGCCGGATCAACTCCTTGGGCGCCTCGCCGACTGCTACCTTCGAATGCGCGGGCTCGCGCGCCCCTCCCGGGGCATCGCCGACAGAGGCCGCCTCGAGACCGAGGTCGATCAAGATAATCGAGCTCGTGGGGTTGCCAGTGCGACTGAACAAGCACATTGTATGCTATAAGAACCGGAAGTGTACATTCACACAATGGATATGCATACTCATCGTGTTCCATAACGTCACTTACACTATAGCATTTGTAAAGATAGCACCAGCCTGTCCAACATGCATGAAGACGTGCTTGTTTTTGCAACCGTGACCGACGACAACGTGGACGGCAAAACGGGCATTGTTTCGTCTGGACAAGGGAAACAACCCGATGAATATATGTGTTATGTGCGCTTCGTTTGACGTCGTATTATTCGCCCTGTCTCCGTGCGGAAGCACTCGCTGCATGTTATGCCACTCGGCAGCATGATATCGCATCGGTAATGGTTCTCTTCACGCTCGCCCTCTTTCCCAATTCCCACTCCGAGGCAGCGCAAGTGCTAAGAATCGTGATGGGGAGGGATTAGTTTCTCATATTACTACGACGCATGTGCGACACATCGGCCAACCAAAATTCTTCTCGCACGGCGACAGCGTGCGCGGGAGAGGGTGGGGAGGGGAAGGACAAGGAGGAGGACGAGGAGGGGGGGAGGAGGAAAGGACGGGGGAGGAGAAAGGGAAGGAATCCTTCCCCCTCCTCCGCAGCCCCGTGGCCGGCTCGCTGCACTGAGGGCCACGGGGCCGACAAGCGGCCAGGCAGCCCCCCGGCGGCCTCCAAGCAACCGGAATTCGACCAGAGGCGGGCTGCTGCCATGACCCGGGGCTGGCCCAGCACGAATCGGTGACGATGTATAGTTGGCGCCCCCACAGGGGATGAGGGAACCCTCTCCTCCTTCTCCTCTCCGCCTCCTCCTCCTCCTCCTCCTCCTCCTCCTCCTCCTCTTTCCTACTCCTCCTCTTTCCTCCTCCTCCTCCTCCTCCTCCTCCTGCGTCCTCCTCCTCTTCCTCCTCCCCCCTCCTCCTCCTCCTCCTCCTCCTCCTCCTCCTCCTCCTCCCTCCGCCTCCTCTCCTCCTCCTCCTCCCCTCCTCGCCCTCCCCTCCTCCTCCTCCTCCTCGTTCTCCTCGTCTTCCTCCCTCCTCCTCCTCCTCCTTCTCCTCCTCCTCCTCCTCCTCTCCTCCTCCTCCTCCTCCTCCTCTTCCTCCTCCTCCTCCTCCTCCGCCGCCCTCCTCCTCCTCCTCCTCCTCCTCCTCCTCCTCCTCCTCCTCCTCCTCCTCTCGCCTTCCTCTCTCCTTCCTGCCTCCTGCCTCTCTCCTCCCTCCTCCTTTCTTCATCGGGGCAGGCGTCCCGCAATGCCCCCGTCGAGCGAGATAGCCTCCTTGCTCCTTCTCCTCATCATGTTTCCTCCTCTTCCTTCTCCTCTTCCTCCTCCTCCTCCTCCTCCTCATCCTCCCGAAGATTCGGAAAGTCCTGTCCCCCAGGCCGCCGACACCTCCGCCGCGGCCGAGGGAAGACGCGATGCGAGGCATCGGGGGGGCACCCGGGCGGGCGGCCTGATCGGGCGGTGCGTTGCGACGGGGAGGGGTGTGAAGTCCTCCTCCGCCGCCTCCGCCTCCTCCTCCTGCTCTCCCTCCTTCCCCGCCTGTTCCTCGTTTTCCTCCTCCTCCTCCTTCTTTCCAATGGCTTTCTCTTGGCTCCCACCAATCGAAGGGGCTGCGCAGAGGGCCCCCCGAACAACATCGACCACCTCCCCCCCGCACCAGTAGGACGAAGCCCGAAGGCCAGGGCCGTCTTATTGGCGCAGGGAGGAGGCCCAGATGCCTGGCTGCCCCTAAACCGCCGCACCGCAGGGGCGGGTGGGCCGATCCTCCTGACCGTCCTCGGACCGAAGGGGGAGGATCAACAAATAACAAGCTACTCACACAACTGGCCCCACCACTCGGCCGCCTCAGGGTCATCTGCCGCGCGGGTCAGGGGCCATGACTGAGATATGCGCAGGCCCTTCGGCCATGGGCACCTCCCTGTCAGAATCTGCGCACGCTGTTCATCAGAAGTTTGGCTGCAGGGGCCCGCCAGCTGTCGGGGGAGCCCCGGTGTGTAGGCCCCGCACTCGAAACAAGAAGAACAGAAAGGCAAACCAGGTTCCCCCACCCGACAACCAGACAAATTATGGGAACGGAGCGGGGGAGAGCGACGAATGTCTATCAAAACTGGGGGGTTAAAGCTGCACGTGTACCTGGAGCCCTGTCTTTGAAACGATTCGGCGCACTTGCACCTCCAACATGAATCATTCCCCAAGCACGCGGCGGGGACGGCCACAGGGCAACAACCCCGGCATCGGGACCCTAGGCTCCTTGGCCAAATCCCCGAAGAGCTCTTTCGCCGTCTGGATGTCACCTAGAAGCTGACTCATTCCTACTGCCACCTCCTCCCAGCCCGCAAGACATACATCGTAGAGATGTATATCTTGAAGCACGGGCAAACGGTGTGAGTGTACTCCATCTCTGGCGTACTCGTCGGCCTTGTCGTTCCCCGCCGTGTGGCGGGCTGCGATGCCTGAGCACTCTGAGCAAACGTGCGCCTTGACCTTTTTCAGACTGAAAGCAGTTACTCTTGACCTGTCAAGGGCACGCCATACTTCTGACAGCGGGCTGGCTCATCAGAGGGCGGCGAAGAGCTTGTTGTAGTCTCCGAGCAAGGCCTGGCAGTCGATATGCACTAGATACGACTCTGTGGAGTTTTCCTCTAGGGCCTCGAGGTGCTGAACGCCCGGGAGGAGCCAGAAGACTTCGCCAAAAACTGCAATCTGAGGAAGGAATCCAGGAACGTTTCCAAAGATGCCTCCGAGAAACTTGCCATTGTCGTCTACGGAAACAAATCCCCAACCCGCCTCGGCAACATGGTCATGCGTCGGCCCTCTGCAAGACCCATCACTGCACATATACCCGTTCAGGTTGGACTTGAAGGGTGATGTGGGCCCCTTTTCCTCCTCCTCCTTCTCCCCCTCCTCCTCCTCCTCCCCCTCCTCCTCCTCCTCCTCCTCCTCCCACTCCTCCTACTCCTCCTCCTCCTCCTCCTACGAGGAAGCTTGGGCGTACAGTCAACCCGTATAGTAAGGATACGCGTTAAGGATGCAAGGGCCTTGAAGAACCGTATCGACGTCATTCAAACAAGGCAGGCCAGCGAAAGTGGCTAAGGATGGGCCGGAGGGGCAAGGATGCAAGGGTAGCCTTGGGATGATTGCCCATCCTTACTATGCTCGTTGACTGCATAGGGTCGGGGAGGCGGAGGGGCCGGACGGAATGGAGGAGATGAAAGGGCGGAGGGAGAAAGAGAGGGAGACGGACCATGAGCATCAGCAGCAGGAGCAGGAGGGGGAGGAGGGGGAGGGCGGGGACGAGGGGGAGAAGAAAGAGGATGGGAGGAAGAGCAGGGGGTGTATGATGCCCCGAGTGCGGGTGGAAACCAATCCTTCCCTACACGATAAGCACGCAACACCAGTATCCGAGCGACATTTCGCTGCCCAGGTGGCCGTTGAACAGGAAGGCCATCACGCCGAGCACGCCCCACATGGACGCCTGTGGAAGGGTCTCCTCGCCCTCCCCCCGACCCCTAATCCTCTGACCCAGTACACGCCTAAGATCGAAGGTGTGCCGGTCGCTGCAAAGGGACTGGTGGAGCCTGATCTAGCTTGGAGGTGGAGCACGCCCCCTCGAACACCTGGGCCGCCTTCATTCCTCCTCCCTCCTCCCTCCCGCCTCCTCCTCCTCCTCCTCATGACGACCTCAGGAGAACAACGGTTCTATCACATACGCGCCCCTGCGTGACCTGGGATGAGGGGCAACGATCGGGGGGGGCCGGCTCAGAAGGGGGAACCCTCGAGCTGAAGTCGGCGATGCAGCGCCGATAGTTCGACGATATGCCCCCGATAGCGAAACCGCACATGCCTGGGCGGGGTGGGCTATCGGGTCCCTATCGGCGATGTGTGGGCGATTCGGGGTCGATGCAGTTCTCCCAGAGCCTATCCCGCCATGCGTTGCCCCTGATTTCCGCCCTCGCGCCGACCTCTGGAGCGGAAAGGCTGCATCTACATTCGTGGCCTGGACTGCGAAGCGCGGTCATCTTCGCGCCCCTACGGGTGACCTGAGACATGGTGATGCTGTGGCTGCTGCTGATGCTGATGCTGATGCTGATGATGATGATGATGATGATGACGATGATGCTGATACTGATGCTGATGACGATGACGATGACGATGACGATGATGATGATGATGATGATGCTGATTCTGATGATATGATGATGATGATGATGATGATGATGATGATGATGATGATGATGATGATGATGATGATGATGATGATGATGATGATGATGATGATGATGATGATGGCGGTGGTGGTGATGATGATAATGATACTGATTATGATTATGATGATGATGATGATGACGATGATGATGATGAAGAAGAAGAAGAAGAAGAAGAAGAAGAATAAGAAGAAGAAGGCTGTGGGTTCTCGACGTCTTTCGCCAGTGTGTACGTGACCCCTGCCATGGACCTCCTCAGGAGCCCCCCCCCAGCAGGTCACCCTTGATATATACCTCGACGACTACGGACTGTCGAGTTCGGGCACTGGAACATCGGTCGTGCCGCCCCTGAAGAAGGCGTCCGTGAAGCTGTTGTTTTCCCAAGGGTATGGTGTGGAGCCCACAGACAATGCAGCAGTTGTCTCCTCCCCGCCATGGGTAGGGGCAGCCAGCAGAGGATTTTCTCGAACACCGTGGCGGCCCGCCCTCCGACGCCCACGCAGCGGTCAAATTTGGAGTCGACGACGCAGCTGGACAGGCTCGTCGCTCGAAAGGTCGGGGCAAAAATAGAAGAAGAACAAAAAACATAAACACAAACTTTTGGCGCTCCGCGGATTTTTGGGATTCGCGCTGGACCCCCTCCCTGGCGCGCGGAGCGCACCAGGGGCGGCGCCGGAGGCGCCGCCGGGGGGCCCAACCGCGGATCCAAGAAATCTGCGCGGAGCGCCAACATTTTATGCTTTGTTCTTCTTCGAGAATAGGGGATTGACTACATCATCGTTTTGCCCCCTATTTTCGACGGGTCTACAAACGCATATGTAGAGAGTCAGGCAAGCCAATAGAAGAAGAAACAATGGCATGAACATAAACTTTTGGCGCTTCGCACGGATTTCTTGGATCTGCACTGGACCCACCTCCCTGGCGCGCGGAGCGCGCAGGGGACGGCGCCAGAGGCGCCGCCACGGGGCCCCATCGCAGATCCAAGAAATTCGCGGGGAGCGCCAAAAGCTTATGCTTATGGCGATGTTTCTGCTTCGAGTAGGGAGATCGAGTACAGAATCGTTTTGCCCAGTTTTACCGTCGGATCTACAAGTGCATGAAGTGAGAAAGACTGGGGGCTGCCCAGCGCTGACAAGAAAGAGAGGTTGGCTAAACCTGCCTCAATGCTACATGAGGCTCAGAAGGGGTAGCGCCAGGTCGATGCCGGGAGCGCTCGACGAGCTTGCCACGGCAAAGCTCCACGTCGGAGTCCGAGACTGCACACGTCTGGGTTATATGGAAATACGATACGAGAAGATAGCCAAGAACTCGCAAGAGGTGTGATGTTATCCGCGAAAGTTATGCTGCATAAACGCAACAGAGCAAACATGTCGTCGGCAACAGCTCCACCAAGCTAAGATGCAGATATTGATGCGTTGCAATGCGACAATGGAAGCGGCGAGCTAAGACTTCCCCTTTCCGCCGGACATCCCGCCCTTGCCAGGGGCTGTGTTGGGATACGGCTCTTGACGTGCCATCTTTGCCGATGTCGTCCGAGGAGCCGCACGGAGAGTGCCAGAGACATCGGAGGCCAGATCACCAGGGCCGAGAGTATGGCCCGAGACCTCTGGACCAGCAGCGCTGCCAACTCCAGAGTCCTGGATCTGCAGCTGAGCAGGCAAGCCGGGCGCCAAGCCACTGGCAAGCCAAGGCGCCAAGAGCAGCAGATGCAGAGCGTCGCGGCTACACGCAAGATTGACCCTGGGCAAGAGTGACCTTGCGCGGCCTTTTGGGGGGCCGCGGGGGGGGGGGCCGAACACGAGCGCGCAAGACGCTACCACCGCACCGCGCTCGGCGATCGGGGGACCCCGGTGGGCCCGCACCCAGGGTCGCTCCGGCGAAAGGTCACTCTTGCGCGTAGCCGAGAGAGTCGGGCAAGCCAGTCGCCACTGCTCGGCCCCCCTCCCCGCACCCCCTCAACAGAAGCCTGGAGCGGCGCCGCAGGCGCTCCGAGGGTCGGGGGCCCCGCTCGGGGCCCGGTGCGGTCGCGAGGATCTGCGCGGACCTCCGAGAGCATGCGCCTGCTCAAGCGGCACAGCCAGGCCCAGGACGGAAGAGCGTCCAGAAGAGGAAGCAACATACAGTCATCGGCCCGACCTGAGGAACGACGAACAAGGACCGCAGCCCCTTTTTCCCGAGGAATAACGCATAAGGAGCGATGCATCATCAACAAAACATGAGGAACGATCAATAACGCATTCAAGCCTAAGAAACGACCGAACCCCTTTTGAAAAGTAAGTGTTCCTTAGTCAAGCCGCTCACTGTAAAAACAAAATTCTGGCGCTCCGCATGAATTCCTGGATTCGCGCAAGAACAGGAAACCCTCCGCCGGCCAACACACCCCAGATCAGAAGATCACCGGGGGTACCCTCCCTCAGAAAATGTACAAGTGAGAGGCCAGCAAAAACACGAAGGCCATTAGGGCACCCTCCCCGAACCGACCTGACTGTCACCCATCTATTGGTAGTGCTTTGCGCATCCGAAGCTACTCTCGCATTGGGTAGCCTAGGGATAGCTAAGTTCGCGCTTCACGCTGCGCGAGGCGCGGAAGAAGCTCGCGCTCTCGCGCCGCCCCCTATCCTCCTCCTCCTCCTCCTCCTCCTCCTCCTCCTCCTCTTCCTCCTCGTATCCCCCCGAGGGCGAGTGGTGACGACGGGGGGAGGGGAAAAGAGGATGAGGCATCGCGGGCTGCGAAGCGAGAGCCGCGAATCACTCTAGGTGGCGACCTTCAAATCGATGGGTGGCGGGGGTAGGGTTCAGACTGCGCCACGCGCTCGGCAAGTTCCGAACCTTGCCCCCGCCGCCCATCGAGTTACCCGAGATCGTGGATCGGCAGGGTTGAATGGGCTCAGGGACACACAAACTAATAGACACAAATCCCAAGAGTCCTCATCTGTTCCAATCTTCTCTGCAGCTTCGTCTCCCCCCACGTCTCATATTCTCCCATCTTTTCCCTGGAATTGTCCTCCTCCTCCTCCTCCTCCACCTCCTCCTCCCCCTCCTCCACCACCTCCTCGTCCTCCTCCATTCCTTTTCCTGGTACCAAATTTCTCCCTGTCGCACCCCGAGGCAAGTTTTTAGGGCGGGCCAGGCGTTTCGCCTGAGACATCCTCACCACGTATGACCCTGAAGCTTCAAACTTGGCAAGAGGTTCACAGATGGAGGGCGGGTCGCTTTCAAAATGTGGTTCTGGCCTTAGAGCCGCGCACATTCGTTTTTAACATTTGCAAGAGCGCCGCGCACATTCGCTTTGAACCATTGCAAGGGTTTCACGGATTGAGGGCGGTTCCACTTCAAAATGTGGCTCTCGGCTTTGCGCCGCGCACATGTGTTTCAAACACTTGCAAGGGTTTCACGGATTATCATGATGAAAGACAGTTCCAGCAATCATGTTTTTTGGTGAGATTCAGGACTATGAGGGCGCAACAGTTACGTTCATTTGCGGCGCTCAAATCCCAATAATGGCGTTCTGGCACGATCCAGGATCGTCAAAACGCAACAGTCAAGTTGATCCGTGGCGTTGGAATCCCGAGGACAATGCTTTGGCATGTTTCAGGGTCTTCAAACGGTTGTCTTCCAACGAGGCAGTTCCCCGAATGGAAGTGAACCGTTGTATAGGGCCTGTGCAGAGGGAGCTTGGAGGGAGGGTGTATTCCAACATCGTTGATGACTCTTGGGTTTATCCTCCTCCTCCTCCTCCTCCTCCTCCTCCTCCTGCTGCGACGCGCGAGCAGCGAAGAGCTTCGCGCCCCCGCGGCGGCCCGTTTGGCCCCCCCGCGGGGGGGGGCGCGCCGCGGAGAGGCGGGCCGGCTGCAGCGGCAGCTTGGCGGCACCCGCGTGGCGCGCCGCCGCGTGCGCGGGCTCGGCGGGGGGCATGCCTGAAGGGGGTCGGGGGCGGAGGAGGGGGAGGAGGAGGAGGAGGAGGAGGAGGAGGAGGAGGAGGAGGAGGAGGAGGAGGAGGAGGAGGAGGAGGAGGAGGAGGAGGAGGAGGAGGAGGAGGCGGAGGAGGAGGGAGGAGGGCGGAGGAGGCGGCGGAGGAGGAGGAGGAGGAGAAGAGAGAGGAGGCGGCGGAGGAGGCAGGGAGGGACGGGGAGGTGAGGGGGGCGGAGGAGGGGAGGGATGGGGAGGGGAGGTCAGTGGGGCGAAGGAGGGGAGGGATGGAGAGGGGACGGGAGGGGGTTCGGGAGAAGGTGGGGGGAGGAGGCGGCGGAGGACGAGAATGCAGGAGCCACCGTCCAGTGTCTCCTCCTCCTCCTCCTCGTCTTCCCCGTCCCTCCGCCTCCTCCTCACTCCTCCTCCTCCTCCTCCTCCTCCTCCTCCTCCTCCTCCTCCTCCTCCTCCTCCTCGGCGGGGGGGTACTGCCAGAAGAGGGTCGGGCGGGGAAGGGGGCGAGGAGGAGGACGACGACGAGGAGGAGGACGATGATGAGGAGGAGGAGGAGGAGAAGGAGGACGAGGAGGAGAAGGGGAACGGGGACCACACAAACACCCTCGCGTCATGAGGCTACACCGGCGTTTCTTTGTTATGTGCTCGGCCTCTCTGGGACCGTTCTGCGCCGAAAGACAATGAAACACCGGCTCAGAACGGCTCAGAACGAAAAGCTGGTCTCACGCACAAACGCACGCACGCACGCACGCACGCACCCACAAACGCACAAACGCACGCACGCACGCGCACGTATGCACGCACACGCGCACGCGCGCGCACAAACGCACACACACACACACACACACACACACACGCGCGCGCGCACACGCGCACGCGCGAACACGCCGCACACGCACGCGCACACGTGCGCACGCACACGCACAAACACGCGCGCACACACACACACGCACACCCGCATTCACGCACACACGCAGACACGCGCATACGGACACACGCACTCACGCACACACAAATACACACACACACACGCAAACACACAAACACATACACACAAACACATGCAAACACACAACCACACACAAACACGCACACAAACACGCACAAAAACAAACACACAAACAAACACACACACACGCACGCACGCACGCACGCACGCACGCACCCCCCCCCACACACACACGTACTTACACTTGCACTTGCACTTGCACTTGCACTTGCACTTGCACTTGCACTTGCACTTGCACTTGCACTTGCACTTGCACTTAACCTTACAATTACAATTACAACTACGCTTACACGTACACTTACACTTACACTTACACTTACACGTACACTTACACTTACACTTACACTTGCACTTACACTTACATACACACACGCGCGCCCGTAGCCATGTTGGCTCATGCTTGTCCGTAGGCCCCCTGCTCCTGGACCTTGTCCCTCGGCGTACCCTGCGACCCCAGTCCTGCGGGGCAACGCGGCGGGCGTGTGGGACGTGGGGGGTGGGGATTTTGGCTCGGATCGCGTGATGGCGTCGGGGGGCCGCCCTGCGTGGTGGAGGCCTGTGCGCGCGCGGGAGACTGCGCAGCTCGGCGCGTCGGCGGCTCGGCGGGCGGCCCGCCGCCGGGCGCAGCTGGCCTGCGAGGCAGGCTTACGGCGTGCGTGGGCGGACCTGGGCGCTGCGCCGCCGGGCTCATGAGTGACCGCGAGCGGGCAGCACGCCCAACACTGTCGCTGGGGCGTTTGCGGCGCAGGCGCAACGCCGCGTGCGCCTCGCGGCTTCACGCAGGCCACCGACGAGGAGCTCAAGTGGGCTGCTGCAGGGCCCCGCCTTGGAGCGGCCCTCGGCTATGAACCATTCTGCGTGGATGCCACGGGGTACGTGGCGGAGGTCATGATGCACGTCGACGTCCTTCCCGACGGCCCCGCCCCTGGCCATCCCGCGGCGGCGGCGGAGGATCGGCCCAGAGGGGTGCGGGAGGCCGCCCCTCCCTTCGTGTAGCACGCGGAGGCGTGGCCAGCTGCCGAGGCTGTGCCGCGAGCGGCGGAGGAGGGCGCGGCGGACGAGGTGCGAGGCAGCCGATGGTCGTGCGGTGCCGTGGTCTGCTCATCCTGTGCGCTGGGCCCTGCCCGCGGCTGCACGCGCGGTGGGGGCCGCGACGACGCTGCAGCGGAGGGTATGCCCGCGCCGTGCACGCCGTGGCCGAGGACCCGGGAGCGGCCCCGGGGTCCTCTCCCACGTGGAGGTGGTGAAGGACGGCCCTGACCGCACGCCGATGAACACGGTCTCGGGGGCCGTACCGATTCTTGGCGAGAAGGCTAGCGAGGGTCAGGACTCGGGCGTCCAGTTCATCGTGGACGATGCCCCTGGCTTCTGCTTGCCTGCGGCCTGGACCGCGGTTGCGGCCGCGAGGGCGCTGCGGCGGCGATCGGGCCAGCCTTTCGTGCGACGCCGTGCGGAGCTGGCAGGCGAGGCCCTGGCAGCGACGCAGCGGCTCCGCACGCTCTTCAACGCCTGGTGGGAGGTCTGGCCGTACGTCAACGACGACGCTATACCCCGCTAGCAGCGCGGGGTTCAGCTTTTTGTCCCCCCCACGGGGCCTGGAGCTGAAGGGGCCCGCCGTGGGGCCTGGGGCTGGATGAGGCCACGGAGGGCCCTCGATCCTTGCCTCGGGGTGCTGGTGGGCGCAGCCCAAGCACGGCAGCTCGGTGGAAGCAGGCCAAGCCCCCGAGACGGCTCGGCAGGCGGCAGGCGCGTGCCGCTCGAGAGCCCTGCGCACGGCCGCGGCGAGGTGAAGACGCCCCGGGGTCGATAATGCACCAGAAGCACCGAAAACACACACACACGCAAGCACGCACGCACGCACGCACGCACCAACGCACACACACACCACACACACACGTACACACAGACACAGACACACACACACACACACACACACGCACACGCACAGACGCACACATACACACACCACACACACGAACACCCTCACGCACACGCACATGCACACGGCACACGCAGACGCACGCGCACATGAAACTACACACACGCACACACACACACACGCGGACACACGCGGACACACGCGCACACGCGCGCACGCACACACGCACAAAAGGACAAGCGAACTCACTCACACCCACACGCACGCACGCGCACACACACAGAGACACACACACGCGCACATACGCGTCCACGCGCAAGCATACGCACACACACACACACACTCACTCACCCACGCGCAAACACACACGCTCGCTCTCTCTCTCTCTCTCTCACACAGACACACACCCACACACACACACACGCACAGACGTGCACACAAAAACACACACACACGCACGCACACACGCGCGCGCTCGCACGCGCACGCACGCACACACACACACACACACACACACACACGCGCGCGCGCACCCACACACACAGACACACAAACACACACACAGCAACGCGCGCACGCACGCACGCACGCACCCACAAACGCACAAACGCACACACGCACGCACACACACGCAACCACAATCACACACACACACACGCACAGACGCGCACACGCAACGCACACACACACACACGCCCGCACACATACATACATACATACACACACGCACACACACACACACGCACACACACAAACACACACGCACGCACACGCACGAACGCGCACACACACACAACTTAACACACACACACACACACAAACACGCACGCGCATGAACACACACACACACACGCATTCACAGACACACAGGCACACATGCACACACGCGCCCACACAGATGCCACACACATGCCGCACACACACACGAACACACACACACACACCCACATGCACGCGCACACGCACACGCACACGGCACGCGCAGACGCACGCGCATCGGCACAGACACGCACACACACAAACACACACACACACACGCGCGCGCACGAACACTCACGCGCACACGCGCACACACGACACACGGACGCACTCACTCACACACCCACACACACTCACGCACGCGCACACGTGCACACACACGCACGCACGCCCACGCATACGCAAACGCACGCACCCATACGCACGCACATGCGCATACACACTCACACGCACCCACACACACACACACGCAAACACGCACACACAAACACACACACACACACACACACACACGCACACACGCGCACATTTTTTTGCGTCGGCGGCTAGGCAAGGGGCGTCTGCGCTGGCGATGGGATGCCTAAGCGGGGATGCCGTTAACATCGCAGTGTGCACCCATGCAAGAGGAAGAGAGGGGGGATGGCGCGGCCGAACACACGCACACACACGCACACACACACACACACGCACACGCACACGCACACACACACACATGTACACACACACACGCAAGCACACACACACACACACACGCACACACACACACACACACACGCACGCACGCACGCACGCACGCACACACACACACACGCAAGCACACACACACACACACACGCAAGCACACCATCCGTAGCCATGCTTGCTCAAGTCTGCCTGGGCGCCCAGGCGGGCGCCGCGCCGTGCCTCTCTCCTGCTGCTTCTGCTGTCCTCTGCAGTCGCGCCTGCTGTCTCGGCCTCTTCTTGTGTGCGTTGTCGATGTTGCACTGATCTTAAGTCGGGCCTGTCCCCCTACAGGGAGATTTTCGACGAAAAATAAAAGAATATTCAAAAAATACTCCAAGATGGTCAACAAATACTTTAAAAATTGTCACCAGACTATTTTTCGACTATTTTTGAATATTCCTCCTGTAGAGGGACGGGCCCGACTTAACACCGATCATGCATATGATTGCCCATCACTCCACCTGTCCCTTCCTTGCCGCTCCGCAGTCGACGGAGATACTGACTTGGCCTGCCTTCCTCAAGCGATCTCAGGGCTCTTGCATGCTCTGTGCAGCCTTCTGATTCCTTCAGGATGTGGATCGGTGGAGGTGGGGAAGCGAAGGAACGACTTCACGGTGCTTGCACGCTTGTCGCTCAGCTGGTGCGTTCTGTGACTGACGGGGTGGCACGGCACAACTTGGCGCCGCCTCGCTTCCTTGTCAACGTCGCGGTTTTGGGGGAGGTCATGAGTCATGGCTTACAAAGGGGTGGGAGGTATCTCGTCTTCCCGTTCCGCCGCTCCTGGCCTACCATGCCCACTGCTTAGCAGCTATACAGCTTCGTTCAGAGGGAAGGGCACGTCTCAATGCCCGAGTAAATGTCGGTGAGCCCGTGACGTATGCTCTCACCGGGCAGTGTGGCTTTGGCAGGCTCTCTCGCTCCACACCTTTTTCCATCAGGGTGCGCGTTGCCGCATGCCTGTCTCGTGTCCGCGTCCGCGCGGGCAGCCTGACGCTTCGGGCCCGTGCGATCCAGCAGAATGCCCAAGAAAAAAGAAGGGAGAGGACCTCCTCCCCTCCGTCTCCTCCCCGATAGCTTTGAACAATAAAAAACGCTGTAGATATAAACTTTGGGCGCTCCGCGCGGATCTCTTGCATCTGCGCCGAACCCCCCCCTCCTGGCGCGCCGGCGCGCGGAGCGCGCCAGCGGTGCTGGAGGCGCCGCCGGGGGGGGCCCAGCGCGGATCCAAGCAATCCGCGCGGAGCGCCCAATGCTGATGCTTATGGCGCTCTTTTCCGTCGACGACTGCCGCTGCCGCCGTCGCCGACGACGACAGCGACGGCGGCAGCGGATGCGGCGACGGCCAGGACGGCACCGACGGGCGGTTGTGGCGGCGGCGTCCAGCCGCCGCGGCGGCGGCGCCCCCCTGCGGCTCGGAGGGGCCTGCGGGCTCCGCCCCGTCGGGCACGCCGGGGCGCAGGCGGCTGGAGGGGGCGGCCCACTCGGAGGCCTCCCAGCTGGGGTGGGAGCAGGTGGGGTCGGAGGATCGCGTCGCACCGTCGAGGCATGGCCGATGCATCAACGATGTATCGGCGAAGTTGCGCGACGCCTGGGCGACGTCGGCGTAGAGAGAGAAACTTATGGGGCTCCACGCCGAGTCGGGGATCTACGGGCCCAGGGTCCATCCAGACCTGGGTCGGTCAGGCCATACAGGATCCTGCGCCCGAGCGCGGGCCAGAGTGCCCCTGGCGTTGCAGGATCCTGCAAGATCAGGCGCTCTGACTGACCCCCGTTTGCACTGACCCCCGTCTCTTCGACTGCTCGCAAGAGTGACCCTGGGAAAGAGTAACCTTTGGTGCGCGACTTTTTGGGGGCCGCGGGGGGACCAAACCTGGGCGCGCAAGCAGCTGCTACTGCCTGGTATTTAGCCGTCTGGGGGCCCATCTGTGCCCGCACCAAAGGTCACTCCGGCGAAAGGTCACTCTTACGTCTAATCGATCTCTTTCGGACGCCCGAAATGGGTACCGAAAAGATGGGCACAATGCCCAACAACAACCGTTGTCCAAAGCCCACGGCGGCCGCTGCTGGGCAGGCGGCCTTCTGCCTCCAGGGGACCACGCCCGCGGCGACGCCGACAGGGAGCCATGCTCAAAACGAGCAAGACATGCTGCTGGTCTTTGTGCCCATTTTGTCCGTACCCTAGGGGTCCCAAAAATATACACCACCACCACCTCCCTCCCCGCCTCCCTCTCGCTGGAAAGGAGAGAAAGGAAGAATCGACGTGGTGGTGGTGTATATTCTTTGGGTCCCCATACCCACTTGGATCGTCCCGATCTCCTGAGCCCCGATCGAGTCGGAGATCTGCTAACCCGGGTCAATCAGATCCAGGTCAGCAGGAAACCCACAAACTGTAACGCAGGAAAAAAACCTGCAACGCAGGTCTTCGCAAACCCGGGTCAGCCCATGGGCGCGGCCGCCTCGCGGCTACGAGCGGCCAGAGGGGGTCTTCGCAAGATCCTGCAGGACCCGGTGCCCTGGCTGACCCCCGCTTTGCATCGACCCGCGTCTCTCCCGGGCTCCGAGCGAGCCGCAT